TTCAGTGAAATGCTATTTCCCCAAAGCTATTTACTATAATTTCCAGCTTGTAATGATGCAGCACATGACAATAAATCCTCTTAATATTGCAGGTCAGTGCTTGAATACGACTCTTCAGCCTTCCTTAAGATATCAATTTTACAAGAATGGAATGATTTTTATTTTGTCTTACATGGTAAGTAAACTTCCTATATTACGTATTAATTGTTTCTTTTTATATAATAATGATAGTAATCTCATTTCACCTGACCAATCACATTTAACTTTATGTTAATAGACCGATCGCATAAACATGAGTACATTACTATGCAGGGCTCAAATTGCAAGCACAGACTGTGGAACAAGTTTGTTTTGCATTACAAGTGACTCTGCCCGAACACTTTTATACCCAGCTGTTTTCCGTGCCAATACATACTTCAGGGTTCAACATCGATACAAGTACTCAACCACATCTCAAGCTGATTTTCTCTTCACAGCTTTTATTGTAAATCGACTTGAAATGTCCATGCAACTCAATTGACGGATGTTTAGAGATTCACACTATAATATCCCATTAGCTGGGTTTTCAGATTCTGTTGCATCAGTGGAAATCTTTAAGTAACATAAAAGGGTGTGGTTTGCTCATATTTTTTTTCGACCAATTGTCTTTTCGCTTGAAGACACCAGATAAGTTGCATGTCAGCCAACCATTTCGTCAGGCCTGATAGTTGCGCAATGGGTGAACCAAAGATTAAAAAATCAGTTTATTAGTTTCTGCAGTATCTGCCAGCATTGTAGCCCTAACATTAATTCATAATATTATCTATTTTCTCACAGTTGACTTACCTCAAAGTTTTCCTCAAAAACAACCCGTTATGACATTCACATCAGTCTATCATTTATCAGCCTATGGAAAACCTTACCATTGCATACAGAAAAGTTATCCATACAGTCCAAGATGGACGGGCAACGAAATGGCCGAAAGAGCAAGGTACGTTTTCAGAATCCATTCATTTTAGTGTCAAGTTAAACATGTTTTACATTTAATTCACTATACATTTATTAACATATTTTTTAAATTTTTTTAGGGCATTTATGTTATCCTTCCTGCCAGAATTCAGACGAACCTCAGTCGGAAGTGGGAAACTGAGTTGATCGGGTCAATAAAAGAATTTTTATTGTGTAGTCTCAATTATAAAAGCTGTGGCTGGCTTGCAGGCTATCCTGGAATACTGCTGTTTATACCTCGCTACAAGTAGTACCATATTGTACAGTTGGAACTTGTGTATGTAAAATTGTCAAGAAGTACCAGAGTTGAAAATATTTGTGTGACACTAAATACCAGTTTTTACCCATATGAAAACTACAATTATACAATCAGTGATTGTCTTACACATGTTCGTACATTTACAATAAACTATTATATTGAACCCCCCCCCCCTTGAAACTACATGTATTTGGTGGATTGTTTTGTGGCATTATTTTATGTTGTATATAGTCCAGTATAACCTTAATACATTTTCTTAACTTGGACGATCAAGTATTCAATTTCATAATCATAATACCCAGTTGTACCCGGATACGATTGTCTAACTACTGTACTTAAATGAAAAAGAGTCATGGATACTTGCAGTACAATTCTTCATGTACAACTAAAATGTCTGTATGTATTGTATGTACCATAAAATCTGCATCTCTAATAGAACTCACACCCAATTTTTATGAACAGTTGAGAACTAAAAATTTGCTATTTCTCATATGTGTAGATGCTCTAATAGAAGTCACATTTCCTCTGTTGCATTGTACCATTTCAAAAGAAGCCACTGCTTCTAATACAGATTTTACAGTAATCAGTTAGTAGACACATTTTGGAATATTATTGTGATTATTTTAAATTTGTGATGTCATTGATGCTTTTAATCTACCAATTTGTTGTATGGCATACAAAATGTGAAATTAATAAATTAGTATATTATATAAATTTTATGAATGTCTTCATTTCAAGGGAGCCTACACAACACCAATTATAACATAAATTGATTGCTAGTGTGTTACATAAATAGATATTTGGTACATTTATCAGCAAGGTGCTACTGCAGACAAGGCTGGATAGTTGTCATATTGTAGATGTGACACATATTTATTTTAACAATTCCTTAAGAACAAGCTGTGTATGTTTTGTAACCAATACAAATGTTGACCTACATATCACTAAGTGAATTCTGTGTGTGTGTGTGTAGGGCTTATTAGGACATGAATGAACCTGTAATTAAAGGCCCAGGCATACTATAAATATGCTTCTAAACAATAGGGATTATTTCCTTGCTTGTCACGCTGTAGTAAACAGCTCCAACCAAGGCTAAGGTAAAGACATGTCTCGAACTTACAGGTCGATTACGTCGTACCAATGTGGATGTATGTGACTATGAATATATATAGTACTTATGACAATAAATAGTGTACGAGTTCAGATTTTGTTGGATAAACGTTAAGAACCGAAAATAGGGATGTGCTACTAAACTTGAATAATAAACTGCTGTCAATCATTGTCACGTGACGTTGGGTCGCTAAGACAGGATGCATCATCTAATCGCAAAAAAAATTTACACAGTTCCTATTGATTTTTTTATCAAGTGATTATGCAAGTGATTAACAGAACTCATTAGCATAGCCACACCTCCAATAAACACTTGTCTTTGGCAAGTGAATTGTGCCTTTAACAGATGAAAGCCCCCCCCCCCCCCCCAATGAAAGGGAAAATAAGTGTCAACAGGTGAAGTCTTCTGATTTCCCTAATTGACCAAAACAGTTTCAGTTGGTCAATAATTTATATGGGTTGTTAGTTGGTTTATCACTGTTCTACTGTTATCATACCAGTAAGTATTCACTAGGTATGGTCCAAATAAAATGGAAAAACTGATATATCATTGCTATATTGGCCCAAAGTGGCGCTGTTTGAAAAAATCTTTTCAACTTTAATAATGCAAAAAATTGTCCCAATGATTGTTTTCACTGCTGAAAAGAGAAAGCATTGAGCAATGATCCAGTGTTTGATTTTTCTCAAAATTGTGTACCAGACCCCAGGGCAGGAATACATTTTTGTTTCACCAGCCCTGCATTAAAAATCAATTGAAGTACAGTACTTCCATTCAAAATTCTAAGCACCATAAAAAAACTTAATAATCTGCCAACACCAAAACAGGTACGGTAATTTAAATTTTCCATTTTAAATTGTTGTGTTCTTTGTATCACAGTCTTTTTATTCGCCATCTAAAGAAAATACCATCCAACTATATACATTTTCAAAATATTACCTGACCTGACCTGTACAGGCTTACAGACAAGCAGTGATTTCAAACACTGAATGTTTAGTCTTTAAATTACCAAATATGCACCGAACAAAATAATATTCCCAATTTTATTTATCCCATAATAAAAGATTCTGCACAAAAAATAGAAATTGTGAATTAAGTCGATATGTACACATTGACTGTTCTAAAAATGACCCATTATTTGTAATTTCATAGCATCTTGATAAGCTTGTGTACTTTTGATAAATTCAAGATGTTGGCCAAACAAACAAGTTAATGTATCAGTTTATGAAAAATACACAATATTGCACTAAATGTCTCAAGCTTTGACTAGAACAAACAAGGTTTCTTCCCAACCCACTTGAGTTCAGTCAAACATCTTGGCGAAGAAGACAAAAGATTAAAATATCCAAGAGATTCCCAAAGTGTAAATACTACAGACTTCTTATAAATGTTTTAGTTAAAGGTTTTTATAAGTTGTGACTTGATCAGCTGGAATTCATCTTCTGATAATGATGCTTCTCTGAGTAACTGTGAAGCTCTTTCCTGCGTCATGTTCTCATACTCAGATTCAACTGTAGGTGAATAAACAAAATTACAGCTATATTATAAAGGTGCAGTGTTATATAAATGCATAATGATAATCATGAGAACATGTATATTCGTTGATTGATTTTGAAAAATATATCATGGTGTATCAATATATGCAAGGGATGTAAATAAAAATATTGCGGCGGGGTATTGCAAGGTAAGCAATTATAGTATGTACAAGGGGTAGTGTTTGTAAGTAAGTAAGTAAGTAATTCTTTATTGCTATCGTATCCCATTTGAGATCTTGACAAAAAGTACAATAAAGTCAAAAACATGTAATAATAAAAAAATGAAAATAAAAGGAAATACTAAAAATACAGTAAATGAATGAAATAAATACACATCTCACAATAAGAGATAAATGAATAATTGTAATATAATGTAAATAAATGTAAATCTGTGTTTTGTGGGGTTTTTTTTTTTTGAGGCAGCTGGTACTGAAGTTATTGTTTGATTTTTTGCTCCCTAAGCATAAAGCAAGTATAAATGTGTTTTGAAATGTCTTTAATTATGTGATCGTTTTTATTATTTAATATGTTTATTAATGTCTCTCCATGCATTTTATGTTTAGTAAAAAGGCTGGTTCTTTCTTTATCATATAGCTGGCACGTGAAAAGGAAATGTTTCTCATCTTCAATTTCTCCAAGATCACAGACAGGGCATATTCTATCAGAGATGGAGATGTTTTTGTATCTGCCTGATTCAATCTGTAAACGGTGGGCACTTATTCTAAGTTTAGTCATTTTGTATTGACAACGTACTGTAGTTATGATAAACCTTCTATTACAAATGGCAAAAGTTGTCACATCGCTTTGTGTTAATATGGAAACATTGCGATGTATACAACACATGTAAAATGTTTAAGGTACAATAAAATTTGAACATGAGGTGCATGTAGTAGTCGTATTTCAGGATGTAAAATTGACACTAATTATTTCCCTCTTTCCATCACAAATTCAAACAAATAGTCCAGTTTATAGTCTGCACTTTCCTTAAGAAGATTGGGATAAAAACAAGCAAATTTTTCAAGTAAAAACTGAAAATTAACTCAAATTTTGTCTGTTGACTCCAAAATTAAGAAAAAAGTGCTGATGAATTTCGGCAAGAAAGTCTAGTGGCGAAAAGGTTAAACAAGATCAAACTACTAGTATATATACTATGAATGCTCAAAATTCACACCACTTAAAAATCAATGTTAAGTTAGATGCAAACTTTAGTGGTCATGTGACTGCTAAGTAAATAAATCCTTATTCAAGATTCAAAGGAGTACTGAGGGAAAGTAAATTTATACCCCAATTTTTTTTCTTAAAAAATGTAGAATAAAACATGAAAAATATAACAGTCATAGCGATTTTGCTTAACTCTTTTTTTTAAATGCACGTTTTTCTTCAAAATATGCGTGTTTTCACATATATGTAACAAATCTTCAGAATTAAACAAAAATCGCTATGACTGTTTAATATGTTCATATATATTACATCTATAATCTCTGAAAAAAGTGAATAAAGGAATATAATGGGTGCTCGACTACATCCTTAATAATCTCAGAATGACCCCTACCTTTGATTGGCAGATGCCCAGCAAGTTCACATACAGCTATATTGAAAGAATCTTCTGTTTTTGCACCTAACAAATACACATATTATAAATATGATGTTACTGCAAGCTGGTGTTCATACTCTGATCAATAGTTAAACAGTTGAATTTTTATAGTACAAGATTTGGTGATTCTTACCATATGATGAACGTCTCGGCCATACATATACTCTTACGGTTCTTCTATTGCTATATTTGTCTTCACCAAATAGTGTTCCTCTTGTCATAAATAGATTATGTGCAATTTCATTTTGATGAAAATATGATGTGACTTTATACACATCCCTGTAGGAGAAAAATAGTTATTAACACAAGTCCAGCCAGGAATATAATTATGTGTTTCACCTGAAGGAATGATTCAGTGAAAATTAAATCCAGCGAATATACCTTTTTTCTTATTTTTTACATTCATTTTGGGAAAAATCGGTGAAAATAAATTGCATAAAATACACTCAGCGAAAATTAATTCCAGTTAAAATAAAGTGTTTTACAGTATCTATAGATGGACTGTGGTCTTAGTACCGGTAATCATATTTATGTACTGTAGACAGTGGTGGGTGAAATAGTGGTTCTGAAACATTTTCTCTCATGAAAAGAGAGGTATAAATAACATGTTATCTCGTGATACCGGTAGATCTTTCCTAGTCATCAGCCCAAATTCATAGATGCATATTGTACGAATTATTTTTCAGCAGACTAATTTATAGTGACTTTTACAAGTCAGTGAAAAGCATGAAATTTTGTAAATTTTCAGACATTCATGAAATTTTCAGTCACTGTTGGTGACTTTCATGAAATATTTTTGAATACCCATAAAATCTTCAACTCTCAAAAATCTGTTTACAGTATCATTTCTTGGTAAATAACGAGAGTCCCTAAGTGGTACCTGTAGCAGTTTCCATAGTTAGAGCACAGTCACTCTCCTAGTAGAGTGACTGTGGTTAGAGATTTATTTTAACCGGAAAACTATTCAGGATCAAAGTTTGATAGTTTCTGCTAATCCTAATAAATAAGTTTTTTTAAGCTGGATCAAAGAGACACGTCTGAAGTATATATCTGCAATAGTTTAAATGTTGATAGTTTTCAGTCTCTTAATGTTGTCTATCATGTCCGCAATCACCAATTGACTGCAATCACCAATTTTGAAAGGGACATTTTTTTTTTCATATTTTTTAATCCATGTAATACTGCATGGGCCAAAATTACCACAAGTACATGTACAAAATGAGTTAACTCATGGTAATATGTTGTGTAATGTTACATACATTCATGATAACAGCATGAAGATAGCTAAAACATTATTTATATACATGTAATTGTTTTCCCAATATATAAAACCAGCCAGATATTGTGAAAATTTCTACATCTGGAAAGTATCATACAATGAGAGTGAACAAAGGGTTCTGGGCTACGTCACACAAAAAGAAGTGGTCTTCCCTGATACCATATTTAAAGTTCATAACATTTTCATATGCATTACTTGAAGTTTGTGTATTCATGAAATGTATTACATGTAGTGTCAGCTCAAAAAAATAAATAAGTTACAAAAAAAAAAAGGGTTCTGGCTAGAACTGTAAAATACCCACCTTGCTAGTTGTTCAACATTTCTTTCCTCAAGCTGGAAGGCAAATCCTGCTGTAGGGTAGCCAACTATTTCATGACATCCACCTATTACAGGCTTTGTAACCTGAATGAGTAAACAGTGAGTGTTCACATATACTTGAGTCCAAACTGAGCATACACATAACTGCTACATTGACACAAAGTGAGACACTCACTTCCAAACGCATAACTACCACACAGACACTAGATTACATACATCCTGAACACAAAGAAATGTCAAATTGTCACAAGGTATTCAGTGTCTGGTAACATCACAAAGCATCATTTATTCACCAATTTCAAAGGAATCTTTTTTGATTGTTAATATGTTTTTATATTTAAAGATCAGAAAAATGTCATTCACTGTATGCACATGAACAAATCCTTCTATTATCAATAACTAAGTTTGAGAACCATATTTGGAATTAAGGTTAAACCAGAGGCTGTGGGCTTTCACTGAACAAGTCCCTGACTGGTTTTTAGTGACATGATACAAAGTGGAGCCAGTTTATTTGTGAGATTCATTTTTTTTTCTTTGTTTGAAATCGAAATTGTCATCTAACTGTAAGGCTGTCGCTGATTGGCTGCTGAGCTGGAATGACAATTTTTGGTTTCAAATACCCCGGTGAAAGTGTTCTATGTTCTTCGTGTAATTGGGTGTTCGTATTTAAGGAATTTTTCCACACAAAAACGACAAATTCAACCAAATTTTGTTATCGATTGGCTTAATATAACCCAACGGAACGTATTTCTGTGAAAGATTATCATTTTTGTTCTGATTTGTAGGAATCTGAAAAACGCGTTTCACAACTTGTCTCTTATTTAGTTTTATGCTGCATGCAAGATGGCGCCCCCCATATAGTAAATATCACATTTATTTTATTATCACGTGTGCGCCAGCTGAGTGTGCTTGCCACATACATAGAATAAATGGATTCAGATCAGTGGGTTCTTAAATATGACTCCGGACGGCCGTGCTTAGACCAAATTATAAGACCCTGTTTTAAACTTCAAGTGGAGCAAGTTTATTTCGTTCATGTTTATACTTATTTGGTGTAGAGTAGTCATGAACATTTAACAGTTGATAAAAACAGTGAGAAACTTACTGCATATTCTATTGCCAGTTCATGGTCCAGATAGTAAGCATGGAAATGCAGGTGATTAACAGATGCAAAAGCACACAGACTGTTCCAGCCAATACGGAAACCCCTGTAGGAAAGATAAATCAATATTGGTATAGGTGACTTCTCTCATACAAAATTATGATTCTGAATTATACTTTTTTTTTAATATAGTCAAAAAAACAAAAAAACAATGACATTCTTCAGTAAGAACAAATGTTTTCTCAACACTGACTGAATCAATCTTGAACACAAAATGGTAGTTCTCCCACCTGCAAAGGTCTTAAATAATGCAGAGCTAATAAATAATTTCAGAACAAAAAAAAGAACGAAAAAAACAAATTCATTTGTTTTATTAGAAACTGGATAGAAGGCATACAAGCCTATAATAGAATATCCCTAGCAGGAAGAAATAACCATTGATCTGTGATAAGCACCGGCACATACTGGTACATACCACCACTATAAACTTCACTGATACCTGTCACCCACTAGATACTACTGAAAAGCAGACTTACTGATGTGAGCTGATGAGAAGCATCTTCAAAGCCAGCTCTATTCCGGACTGTGTAAGAACCTAGGAATATCAAATATGTAGCCATAACACATGGTGTTAGCCATACCTATAATATATAGATAATCAAACAATAAAAAAAATACTACCCGTAATACATGCAAACTGACAATGTATAAAATTATGTTTTGTTATGTACTCAGTTTGGTACTGGATATACAGCTTTATGGTTTATGGAAGCACTGACCTGTGGAAGGCATGATTCAACACTCGGTACAAGCAACACATTACAATATTCTAACGGACTGACATTGATAATAATAATATGAGTGTCTGATAACATAGTATCTTCATCACCATTGGTTGCTATGGCTACCTCTCCATCAGTAATTTGCTGTGGACAGAGCTCTAGAAGAATCTGCAAAGAAATAAGCAATGTATGTACCGGTAGGTGTAAAACTTATAGACAGGTTTGCAATGTTATGTACCGGTACTCCGTTTCATTACTAAACGACTTCCATAGTAAACATTGGTTTATGAATATGCAAATGCTAATTAACATACAAAAATTCCCAACCTGTCAAAATTTTATTATGGCAATTTAAATTTTGTTTTTAGGCATAGACAGATAACTGAACATCAAAATGCACTGACAATGCATTAATAGTTCTGTTACACAAGGGAGATAAAACTTGTATTTGAAAACAAAACTTACATCAATATTCTAGTTTATTATTCCTGCATTTACACAGTGATATATTTCTCCCACTTACTTCTTGTTTTTTTATTTTCAGGAAATTGAAGAGATCTGGGTTGAATGGTTGTGACACACTTTTAATTACTTGTGGTTTTCTTCTCTCAGTTGCACGCTTCATGTTTAACTGAAGAAAACAAAATTACTTGAAATAGTAAAACAACTTTGGTAGATAAAGTACACAACTCTTTAAGACTAACCAAAAAATACACTTGCTGATTTGCTTCAGTATTTGTTTTATTTTTTACACAAGAATTCATTCCTTAAACTGTCAAAAGACTAACACAAGGACTAGTGTACAATGCAACAGTTTGTATATATATTACCAAGCTACTAGAAGCTGAAATATTAATACAGAAACCATCCATTGAAACTATAGCATAGCAGTCTTTCACTTAACAATGTGCAAAGAGAAGGGACTGACAAAGGTGTTCAAGTTAATACAGGTGTATACATGCGTTGTACGATGATAGACAGTCAATGTCTCTACCTGAGCTACATACTTGAGATCCCCATCTATAATTCGAGTCTTCAACGAATCAAGAGTATATCGGAAATAACCATTTTTTACAGCATAATCCCATCGTGATCTCAACTGATTGTCAAACTATTGGAAAGAAAATAAATTTTGTATTACCAAGGACTCAACATAGACATGACCTGCAATATATATGAATATACCTGGTACTAGTAATTATCAGCACTAGCATTAGGAAATGATGTACAGTCTCTCTTGGCAGTTTATATGCAAACTGTTGTAAATAAAGTACGCATGGAAATATTTCTTTTGACAACAATCCATTTCATTAATCTTGATTTCAAACTAGATCCTCTCTGTAGTGCAAAATTAGCCAAGAATTTTAGGGTTTTTTAGTTGCATAACTACCATGTGCTCGACAAAAGTAATCGAATCATTGTTAATTCACTTCAGGTTCAGTAGGAATTAACATGCAGCTATACGAATACGTGTTCAGTTTTGGTAAGTCTGAAAGTCAACAGATCATGAGGTTAGCTACATAGTCGACAACTATAATGACCATGTTATTTTTGCAGCTGTGATTCCAAGGGATAACTGGAAACTGTAGTTTTACCTTACTGCACTTAAATTTCATTGTTTCAGACCATTGGTTTGAATCAACCACATAGTCTTCTTCAGAGAAGATAAACTTCCCAGGCTGTGATAAATCATTCTGTAGGAAAGAGAAATTCATTTCATAAATATATAAACAGGAAAACATATGCAAGATATGATTATGGGCTGCACAAAAATAGATGATTGTGATAACACACACTTGCTAGCTGGGATGTCTCTGGTATACAAATGATTAACCATACACAGTTCAACAAGATTAGTGCTGCAGATATCATCAATTACGATCGGAAAGACTTTCCAATGTACCCCTCCCCCTTTAAATCCTCTAACACTACCCATACCCCCTATCTATGCCCCTCTGGAGGGCCCCTATAGTTATCTAGAGGAGCATTTACAACTGAATTGAGGATCTAGAAGGTTAGGGTTAGAGTTAGGGTGAGGGATGGGGTACAATGGAAAGCCCCTCCCCCCCCCCTCCCCCCATTTATTTGTTACAGTGTGGATCCCTTCCAAAAATCAGCTTTTACTTTCGGTTTACTTCTTTGACATGTCGTTACAAGTTACATTAAAATGGTCATGGTTGAACTTGTTGAATGTGACAATTAACAAAGAACTGTCTCTGTCTCTTTTCAACTATGTCACTTGCAAATTTCTCATTAGATGTAAAACGGTACACACCCACTTACCGGCGTTTCGTTGCACAAGGAGGCTGCCATTTTGGATTTTGTCACGTCAGTGTGTTTGAGGGCGCTATTAGATATAAACGCCCGGCCATTACGCCCTAAAGAGCAGTGATGGTCGCGCCACGCATGCGCGAGGTATGGGTCTCATATGAACAAAGATTGCGGCTTTGACTGTCAAAAATGCAATTTTATTCATTGTGTTCTATGGAATGTTCTAAAAATAGCGATTTTTGAAAAAATATCAGGTCAAATTTTTCAAAATACGTCACTGTAACACACAAAAGAATGTTATGTCATGGTTCCATGGAAGAATAACTCCATGATTTTACATAATAAACCAATGAACATTGCCGTGCGATTTATGACCAATTTTCCCAAAATTTAGGAGTAGGCTTCTATTTTAAGAATGTTAGGGTGAGAATGTGTGGGGGCGCGCACGCCACAGAAGTCAATTACGAGAAAACACATCATCATGGTGGCCACAGCGGACCTTAAATTCGCAGCCCAATCTTGGCATGGTTAAATCTCCTGCTGGAGTAAAACATTTATCATATCGCATCTCATGGCACTCGAGAAAGTATTTTGCCCGAAACAACCATGCGAGCAAGTTTGCCCAAGACAGTAATTGTTCTGATAAGGACTTTGCATGGATCATTAATACGGAATACACGCCGTAATAATCACGGATACTACCATTACCACGGTAGAAAAAAACACGCACGCAGTAAATAAAAGTTTTCGGCTAATAATTACATGTTTAGTAGCTTTAAAAGCCTTATTCGCTACTTTGACTAGACAGTGTTGTTCTAGTTGTCTAGCTTATTTGGAAAGTGGACTTTATACAAGCTATTTTTTTTTCTAAATGGAAGCAATAACGATATTATTGAGAGTATTGGTTTACAACATTGAAAGGAAAGAACATTTTTTAAGTTGCTAGATTTTGATCACTTAGTGATTTACTAGTGTCATAGATGGTCATGTATAATATATAATTGGTATACATGTATATTCTATGAAATTAAATCTGCTGTTAACTTACCAATTGACATTTTCTCTAAATTGATTTATAGACAAAACAATTTTACATTACACATGGCACATTTTCAATACTATACTAAAATGCATTGATCGACTTCAAAACGGAAACACTACTACGCCCTCTATAGACATACCACTGGGAACTGTATTTGCAATGATGCAAG